CACAGGGGCATGTGCTCTGGACCGACTTCTGACCACCCTCCCCAGCCAGTATTCAAGGCTAGCATGGTCCAGCGTGTTGAGTCCCCTCAAAAAGCAACAGGACACATGCTTGTTCAGGGAATTCTTGTTGTGAGAGCAGTCATGGGTCCAAACTTGCCCTTTACCATTCATAGTTGTATGATGTGGGACAGCTATTGATTTTTTCTAAGCTCACTTACCAAGAAATTTTCTTTAGGCTTAAAATTCCACAGGGAGACAATTAATTAAAAAAAAAACACACAACAACACAAACCCAACCCCAACACCAAAACACAACCTAACACTCGACAGGGAGTGGGGCCCTCATACCCAATGAAGTTAGGCCCTGGAGTTACCCAGGAATTCCAGAAGGCACAGTTCCAAAACCTCATTCTTGTCCTACTAATTCAAGAGTACAAACATGCAGGGCTGTGTAAGCAGCTGCTGTTGAGGTTCTCTGTTCCCTGAGGTGGTTGGGGGTGCTGGACCACACTGGGAGATGGCTAGGTCAAGTCTTGCGGGCAGTCAGCAATCACCCCTTGGGCTACAGAGTAGACCAGTGATTGGCCTAGAATTCAGTATGAACCAGTGACAGAAGGAAGCCCTATTCTATTAAGGAAGTGCAAAAGACATGGAGCTTTGAAGGTGTGGCATTCACACCTGCTGTTAGATGTCAAGTCAGTTCCAACTCACAGCACCTTACATATGACAGAATCAACGCCTGCTCGTTACATCCTCACAAGCAAAACTGTTTGATCCCACAGCTGCAACCATGATGCCATCCCATCTCATAGTCTTACTATTTCATGCATCTGTTTTAACAAACACAATGCACTTCTCCAGAGACTAATTAATCCCTCTTGATAACATGTCCAAAGTGAATGAAATGAAGTCTCAACATTATCACCTGAAGGAGTAGCCTAGCTGCACTTTTTCTGAGAAAGATTTGATTGTTCTTTTGGCAATTGATGCTACAGTCAATATTCTTCACTAACACAATTCAAAGGCATTGATTCTACTTCAGTCTTCATTGTTCTTTGTCTAAATTTTATATGCATACAAGGCAATTGAAAATAGCATGGCTTGGAATTGTTCTGCATTGCCGAATCACCTGCGACTGACCCTGTGTACAACAGCTCTGAACCCTGCTCTTGAGCCAATTTCATTCTCTCAAACATACCTACCCCCATTACCCATCACTGAATCAATCCATCTGAACCAGGGTCTTCTTCCCTCCACCCTTCCAGAATGATATCCTTCTCCAAAAACTGGTCCTTCCTGGCTACATGCCCAAAGTATGTGAGACAGAGCTTTAGAATCCTTACCCCCAAGGAGCAGCCTGGTTTCCCCCTCTCCATGACAGATCTATTTGTTCTCTTAACAGTCCATGATATGTTGAATACTCTTCTCTAGTATCATGACTCAAAGGCATCAATCTGTCATCCTTAAGTCATTGTCCTGCTCTCTGATGCATAGCAAGTAATTGCCAAGATCATGGGTTAGAACAGGTGCACCTTAGTCTCTAGATTAATATTGTTGCTCTTCAGTACTCGGGAGGTCTTTGACAGCAAATTTTCCCAATGCAATTCATCTTCTGACTTCCTGTCTGCTGGTATCAAGAGTGTTGACTGTGGAACCAAGCAAGCTGAAGCTGTTAACAATTTCAATCTTATTTCCATTTGTCATAATGCTGCCAATTGGCACAATGATGAGAATTTGTTTTCTTGATGTTGAGCTTCCATCCCTTTAAGATTACAGTTCTTGACCTTCAGCAGCAAATGCTTCAGGTCCTCCTTAGTTTTGGCAAGCAAGATTCTGTCATAGGCATAATGTAGGTTGTTGATAAGTCTTTCTCCAATCCTAATGCCACATTCCTCCTCATAAAATCTAGTTTCCCAAATGATCTGTCCTCCATATAGATTGCAAAGGTATGGAGATAGGATGCATCCCTGGTGTACACTTTTCCTGATCTTGAACCATGCAGTGTTTCCTTGCTCTGTTCTGATGACTGCCTCCTCTTGGTCCAAGTATAGGTTTCACATGAGCACAATTAAGTGTTCTGGGATTCCCATTCTTCTCAAGGTTAGCCAAAATTTGTTATCCTCCACACAGTCAAATGCCTTTGCGGTCAATGAAACACAGATAGGCATTCTGCTGGTACTCTCTGCTTTCAGCTAAGATCCATCTAATATTAGCTATAATTTCCCTAGTGCCACAGCCTCTTCTAAACCTGTCTCATACATCTGGCAGTTCTCTGTTGGTCAGATGTTCCAGTTGTTTTTCTGGTTTTGTTTTGTGATGTTTGTTTGCTTTTTTAGATTATACAAAAGTGACTGGCTTAGAACAGGCACCTAAATCCTCAAAGTTGTGGCTGAGTACCATCAAGTGAGAACCAGCTCCCAGCTGACCCTCCAGCAGGTTTCCAGAGGCAGTAAATCACAGGGAAGGAGACTGCCCATCCTTTATCTGTGGAGCTGCTGAAAGATTTGAACCGCATATTTTTGGGATTGCAGTGCAGTTTCTCGCCACTATGACACCAGAGCTCCCTAGTCTTCAAAGTTGTTGTTGCGTACCAGCAAGTTCGAACCGACCCATAGCTATCTTCCAGTGGGTTTTCAGAAGCAGTTAATCGCACGGGAGAAGACTGTCCATCCTTCTTCTGTGGAGCAGCTGGTGTTCTCAAACTGTGTGCCTTCAAGATTGCAGCACAGCTTCTTGCTACTAGGCCAAAGTAGCATCTTTAAGTTTTAGAGGTCTTCTGCAGATTTGTTCAATGTAATTTGCCCTTTGATTTCCTTGCCTGCTGCTTCTATGGGTTTTGATTGTAGACCCACTGAAATCCTTGACTACTTCAATCTTCTCTCCATTTATCATGAGGTTACTGGTCCAGGTGAGGATTTTTGTTTTATACTGAATTGTAATCCCTACCAGAAGGCTCTTTGTTCATGTTCATCTCAGTCATAGTTATCTCCCTAAGGCTTTGAGGGTTGTAGCCCATATCTCTCATCTCAATTCCAATTGGAAGTAATTGACAATACCCCCATTCTATAGGTAAATACCTGGGATTCAGAGAAGTGAAATAATTTGCCCAAGACTCACATAGGATCTGAACTAGAGTCTGACCTCAGGATTCTGGGGCCCTGTCAAACTCTTCCTACAGTCAGGAGGGGCATTCCTTGCAGAGGATCCGGAGAGAAAGCCCCTATGGGGGTGGAGGGAATGGTGTATACAGAGGTACTGGCTGCTTAGAGGTCCAGAGCATTCCATGATGCTGACATTAAGTGGTCTGCACAGGTCAGGGAGGGCAAACAGCTAAGAGCAGGATCAAGGGCAAGGCCTGAATCAGTTGCTTCCCAGGTTACTTCCAGCAATGCCTTGAGCACAGGGCTGGCTAAGGCAAGGCTTCTCAAACTTCTCATCATCCAGAGAAAACCTGGATGCAGAAGAAAACAGGCCCCAGGGCCTGGCATCGATGTCTTAGATCAGTTCACCACCACCACCACCCTTCCCACCACCATATGCTTTTGTTTCTAACAACCTACACCTTCAGAGGGCGATGGAACAGCTTTGTTTCCTCAGGGACACAGTATAACTCCTCCCTCCTCAAGTTTTGTGCTAAGTGGTGACAGGTAATTAATACTCCAGGTGCCTCCCCCCCAAGCAGCCCAAAGCGCCCTCTGCAGGACGTGGCCTGAAGTCTTTCCCTGGCCCAAATTCCTCCTCTTTCCTGTCCCGCGTCCCTTGTGTGATTTCAGAAGCCAGCTGCCAAGGATCCAATCAAAAATATTTTTAAAAAATCTTTAAAGGGAGCTCAGGTGGCCTAGTGGCAAAAAGCTGCACTGCAATCCCAGAGGCGTGCAGTTCAAATCTACCAGATGCTCTGCTGGAGAAGGAGAGGCAATCTCCTCCTGTACCGGTCAGATCTGATGGTGCACGCACGCGCGCGCGCGCACACACACACACACACACAAAATAATAAAATTTAAAAAAAAAATTAAAAGAGAAAAAAATGTTTTGGCCCAGTATTTACCTGTGCAAGTATTGTGTGCACATCCTTAAGTTTTCCCCTCAAAACTTCAAGTTAGTTGTTCCAAGATGTGGGTGTAACTCCGGAGTCCTTGGGTGCCCACTGAGCACCCCAGACTGAGTGTGGGGGCCTGAGTAGAGGATGGTGATATGTGACACTCTGCGTGTCTCCATCCGTCCTACCTCTCTTAGTACCCCGAATTGTCAGGCCCATCCCACAAGCAACACCCTAGCCACAAAGGAGGCCGACCCCTAACCTTGTTCAGATTTCTTTATTGAAAAATTAAAGTCGTAAGCTCTGTATATAAATACACTGACGCTGCGACACTGCTGGTCACCGGCAAGGCCTCTGGGACAGGCTGAGGGTTTCTGGGTTGGGGAGGGATAGGGCTTGGAGGTTTCCAGGGTGAAGAGGGAAATAAATAATAAATATTATGGGCGAATATGAGGAGCCAGAATGGGGGGTGTGAATGGGGAGGTGCTTGATGCTTTGTTGTGGCACTAAAGGTCTTGCAAGGTGCTCCCCTCAGCTGGGGGCTGAGTCCACGAATTCTCACTGTGACCTCACTCCAAAGGCTCAGGTGTCCAGAGCGGACTGAGTCCCAGCTAGTGAGGGGAGCAGGGGGGTCGCCACCATCCAGCCCAAACAGGCCCTGGCAGGCTCCCCTGGACATGCTGAGACACAGCCCTCTGCCCTTCACTTCTCATAACCCACACGTGGACTGAGAGCCTACAGTATACCCGGTGTGGCACAAGATCCTGACCTGGCCTTCTGTTTGCCCCACCCAGCCCTCTCCTCCCCTGGTCTGGTCCAGTGGGCCGTGGTGGAGTGGAGGGATGACTTCCTGCTGCCCTGGCTGTGCAGCCCCTCATGGAGCCTGCCAGTGTCGGGAGGAAGGAGGGACCAGGGCCAAGGGCTGGGCAGTAGTGGAGGCCCTTGGGCAGGGCCTCAGCCTCTAGAGCATCACATTGAACTCGGTGACCAGAAAGTCAATGTAGTCGCGCTCCTTGGTCTTGAAGGCCTCGGCAATGATGCGGGCAGCCTCCCGGTGCTCCTTGCCCCGAAGTGTCAGGCCGTTCACTTCCAGGATCACGTGGCCCACCTTGAGCTGCCCACAGTTGTGGGCCGAGCCGCCTCTCTGCAGGGGCGAGACACAGAGCACATGGCTGACGAGGGACAGGCCCACCTGGCCTCAACTCACCTGGGAGTCAGGCCATGTCACCTCCAGGGGTTCTGGCGATGCTGAGTGAGAGTCTCAGGGTTATGGTAAAGCCAGACCCACAGGACACACCTGAATCGTGACAATCCTCGGCAGAGGCTGGCGGGTGTTGGCGCCACCCTCGATGGCGATGCCCAGGGTGGCCGCACTCTTCTTCACACGGACTAGAGTGGACGTAGGCTCCAGGAGTCCAGGCTGTGGGCGTGAGGAGAAGGCCATGGTGAGGCTATGCTGGCACACAAGCTAGACCACAGACCTGGGTGGGGCCATGGCACACCACCGGGTCAACAGGGCCTGGACACCAGTCCCACGAGGCTGAGAGCCTAGAGCATGCCAGGCCGGGAGTCCTGAGCTCTATGGCATTAGGATCTGCCATGTCCACTTCCAACTCATGGACTCCACAGACCAGTTGCTCTGTCCCATAGGGTTTTATAGGCTACAATCTTGATATGAGCAGATAACCCAGTCTTTGTCCCTCAAAGTCTCTGTATAGATTTGAACTTCCATCCTTTCGGTTAGTGGCTCAGTGTTGACCCATCTTCCTCCCAGGGCTCCTCATCTTAATCTTTACAATAAAAACCCCTAAGGCTTGGGAAGTTAAGGGGCTTCCCTTAGCTGGCTGGGTGATGCCAAAAACATTTCAGCCAGCACATCACTCAAAAATGGAAGGAACCTTAAAGGTTACCAAGCCAATCTCTCAGTTACCCAGGGTTAGTGGCAAACTGGGACTTAAACAGGACCTTCTGACTCCTAATCCAGTGTCCTTCTCAGGACTTTAATACCTCCAGTGATGTGATCTCCTCTGGTGGTCACAGGCCAAACTGAATGAAACCTGTTTGCTTCACCTCCTTGTTCCTGGCCTCTAGGTCACCCCCACTCCCCACCCCGTGGCTCACCGGCTTGGCGGCTCCCTCTGTGGTCCTCTCGTTCCGAGGCAGGTCCTTGCTGCTTCTGCTTTTGGTGGAGGCCGTCTGTTTGCCTCGGCCAGGTACCCTGGCCTCTGCCTCGCCAGCATCTACCCCGCTGTCCTCGCTCAGGGTCTGTCCACTGTCAGACAGCTGAGAGAGTGTGGAGGCTGCTGGGGTGGGGGATAGGAGGAGAAGAACAAGGGTTTACACAGCTGGGTCAAACAGGGCTTCCTGGAGGAGGTGACAGCTGAGATTGGAAGGCTGGGGGAGGGGGACAGGAAAGAAGCTCACAGACAGAGACATGGGGACAGTGAAGGAAGTTTCCTCCCCCTTGCCTTTCCAATTGGCTGCCCGGAGGCTGACCACCTAGTCCTCAACCATTGGCATACTGTTTAAAACAGAAGTCTGACATCAAATCCAGCCTGTGTGAGTGGTTTAAACTCATGCTGTGTGTTCAATTCTCATAACACTGCCAAGTTTTAATGATGAACCTGCACATTCAAATTTTATTTCATATAAACATTATATTTCTAAGCTTCTAAAAAAAATCATAAAATATCTGACAACTCTGGCTTGAATCTGTGCCTGAACCCCCCACTGAAGAGGTAGGTGGGTTAAGAATAAGCACTCAGGCTTCCTCAAAAAAGCTGAACATAGAGAAATTCCATATGACCCAGCAATACCACTGCTTGGAATATACCCTAAGAAAATGAGAACTGAAGCACAAAAGGAGACTTGTACACCAATGTTCACAGCAGCGTTATTCACCATCAAAAGAACATGGAAACAGCCCAGATGTCCAACCACAATTGAATGGATTAAGAAATTATGGTGTATTCACACAATGGAATACTATGCAACACGCAGAAGCAATAGATTTGTAAATTAATATCTAACTTGAGAGGGATTAGAGAGCATTATGCTGAGGGTACTAACTCAGTCCCATAAAGAAAAATACTGTATACAATCATTATTGTAGAATGAGGATCCAAGGAGGATGGAAGCAGAGGGGTGAGGATTTGCAGGAGGGTAGGGGGACTTAATCATGGGATTACACAATTTGATGAGGGGGGGAGAGTGAGAGAAATAGTAAGGAATTAGTGTGAAAAAAATGTATTTGTACTTTGTAAATAAGCTAGCATAAAAAATAATTTTAAAAAACCCCAAAACAACAAGAAGCATGTAGGCAGGTCAGGTTTGAATCCCGGCTTTCCACTGACGAGCGGTGCAGCCCTGGGCTAGCTGCACACCCTCTCCGAGCCTGTGTTTGCTTCTGACCTTCTCCTAGGACAGGAGCAATGGTGCCTATTCAAGGGCTTACACTAAAGAAGGATAGATATGACATACAGAGTGAAATAACTGAGAGCACAGAGCTGAACTGTCAAGCCCCACGATTATTCCTCGTGCCTCAGTTTTTTTCATCTCTAAAATGGGAATGATAAACTACCAGTTTCCTAGGGCTGTTAAAAGCAAGGTGAGCAAGGTGAATGTCAGTACTTGGCTAATAACTACTAGTCTCACAGGGCTGCTGGGAGGATTCACTTAGTTAATAGTAAAGGCAGGGCCCCTAGAACAGTACCTGGCACACAGCAAGTGTTACACAGCTCTTATTATCATGCGTGGATTTGGCTGGGAGCCCTAACTAGAGGTGATGAGTACATGATAGCACTGGTTTCTCTTACCACATCCTGCCTCCTCTCACTGGGCTGCTGAACGTGAGGACCCTGCATTCTGGCTTTGGTCAGAAGCCTGGTCTGCCCACTACTGTCACTCAGCATCTGCTGACCTTTCCTGGCTGCTGGGAGACACCCCTCCCTGCCTAGTGTTTTAGCCACAAGATGGCAGCAGAACTCAAGCAAATGTAATCAACTGGTGGTCCACAGCTGCTGCAGGGCTCAGGCTTCCAGGGAGTGGAATGTCTGCTCTGTTGCCCCACCTCCTCAGCTGGAGTTCCATGGGAAAATCTGGGGCCGCAGCCTCTAGTGGGCTTCACCAGGTTTTAACAAAGTCAACCCTGCAGCCAGACCTCGCAGCCCATTTCAGGAGACTTGCCAAGGACCTACACCAAAAACCAAGCCCATGGCTGGCAAGTCAGTTCTCACTCAAAGTATAATCTCCATCCGGTTTCCAAGGCTGCCCATCTTTATGAACAGAGGCTGGCCCTTTTCCACCTGTGGAAACACCAACTTTCTGTAGGAGCCCAACACACCACCAGTGACTGCCAAGAGCCAAGGATGGCAATTTTGGTATCTACATAGTCTACATAGTGTCAGGCCGTGGAAGCAGAGCCGACAGAAGCCACCTCATCATCAGTGTTGCGGGGTGACTTCAGGGTGGTCAGGGCAGCAGGAGCTGGAGGAGGAGCCCCAACCCTCCTAGCCACACTGCCGGCGAGTAGCTGTGACGGCCTTTTATCACGGGAAAGTAAGACTTCGACGGGATAGCGGCTTATCCCAGCCACATAGCTGGTAAACCATAGAGTCACATTCAAACTTGTCTCTGCATCAAAATCCACCTTAATAGGGACTCAGGACCTGTTTCCCTGGACACTCTGATCCCTGAACCAGAAGGTCCTTCAGTGAGCACATAATCTATCTCTCCCTATGCGCCATGCAGAAGTCAGACGGAGCAAGACAGTAGGAACCTGTCCAAGATGACACAGCCTGGGCCTGAGCCCAGGCCTGACCCGCATCCACTGGACACTTACTGCGCGTCTGGGGCAGTGCCCTCACTTCGTTCACGTCCGGCTCGCTGTCAGGGCGGTGCACCTCCACCATGACAAAGTGCTGGTTCGTGCCTGTCTGGTCTGGGTGGCTGGAAGGTGAAGGGGGCAGAAGGCAGCCTCCAGCCATGGTGGCCTCTGCAGGGGGACTTTTCAGGTGTGGAGGTGACTGGACCCGAGGGAAGGGGCCGATGGGGTGCTGGTTGACCAAGGCCAGATGCGTGTCCAGTGGTCTCTTGGTGCTGGGGTTGGCAGGGGAGACAGAGGCATAGATGGGGGAGGGGGGTGAGTCCTGTGTGGAGGAAAGCCCGGGGGTGGGCGAAGTGCCCACCGGCGGGCTACGGTTCCTGGAAGCTGAGAAGATGATGCCCGAGTGGGACGATTCAGTGGACACGGGCTGGAGGTCCTCCCTTGCTGGCTTCCTCGGCTGGGCCATCGAGCGGTCACGGCTTTGGGCCAGAGGTGGTGAGGGAGCTGGTGGCTTGAAGCTTGTCAACCCCTTCGAAGTGGACTTGACGTCATCCTGCCAAAAGACCCAAGGAGAGTAGAAAGAGTCAGAACCCATCGCAGCTGGGAGAGGGGCGGTCGGAGCCGCCGCGTGGAGCCAGGCCCGGCTGGAATTGTGTCCCGACGCCGGTGGCTCGTGATCATGCCGCTCTGAATAATGCAGTGCCCCAGTGGAAAACTGCGCCCCAGCATCTCAGCAGCTGATAAGCGTCAGGATCCCGGCACATGTCTCTGGGGACAGCATCAGTCCCTTTGGGAATCGAAGTTCTTGGCATCGGACAGGGCTTGTCACAAGGAACAATTAGAGGCAGGGTGGAGGGGATGGGGAGATGGCATTTCTCTAGCTTTTCTTTTTCTCTTGATGGAAAGTATACACTGCCAAAAACACACCATTTCAACAGCTTCTCCCTGTACCACTGGGTGGCACTGATTACACCGGGTAAGCTGTGCTCTCATTCTCGCTGTCCTCCTTGACTGACTCGGCCACCATCATCTGCATCTCACTTCCCCCTAAGCTTCTGCCCACCTTTGAAGCAAATCGTCAATTTGCTCTCACACAGAGATGGCTTTCCTTTTAGGGGAGGTGGATGTGACTGAATTAGAGTAGGCAAGGATGATCAGGAGGAAGTGACAAGGAGACTGGCCCTGGGGACAGGCCTGTCACCTGTCTGAGTTCACTCTGGGGTGACGGGATGCTTTTAGAATAGAGGTGGGAATTAGAGGTGCAGTAAGGGTAACCCATTAGCAAAGGCCTTCCCCCCAACATGTGCTGGGTGAATGATGCTGGGTTATTATTCCCCTCTGTCTATGCCAACAAGAGAGCTCTGGTGGCCTAGTAGGTAACATGCTGCCAACCCAAAGGCAAGTGGTTTGAATCCACTAGCTGCCCTGAGGGAGAAAGATGGGCAGTCTCTTCTTGTGAAATTTACAGTCTGAAAATCTGCCGGAGGGTCAGCTATGAATCAGTTTTGACTCAGTGGCAATGACTTACTTGGGTCTATGTCAACACCCAACCCTTACAGAGCACAGACCATGCTTCAGACACACTCCTTGGCACGTACATATGTACAGGGTAGATATGCTATGATCATTCCTGTTTTATAGAAAGAGAAACTAAGCCACAGAGAGGTTAAGAGGCTTGCCCAGAGTCAGAGTATATGGCAGAGGTAGGAGGAAACCCTGGCAGTCTGCCTCCAGAGTCTGTGCTGTTCAAGACACAATCACAAAGTAACTGCTGTGTGCACATGAGCCTAAGGCACATTTAGATTCTATCTCCGGCCCAGTCATAGGCCTCGCCAGGGGTTCTCTCCACACGCTCCCTGTTCTAGCATTTGCTACGACGCTGTTCAGATGACAAGATGACAAAGCAAAGGAAGCACCAACTCAGCAAACAGACCAGGAGGACAGCCTGACGGCTTCACCTCAGTGCACCGGGATCCAGCTGAGCCCAGCCAGCTGGGGGAGCCAGAGCTGACATGCTTGTGCACAGGACCTAGGAGCTCGGAGGAGGGGTCTGTGCCTCCCACAGAAAGAAGCCTGTGCCCAGGGTCCCGGGCAGACTCTGCAGGATACCACTGAGCCAGACAATGAGAGGGTCTTACCAGGGAGACATCTGGGAGGGTGTTGACACCGCCCTGAACAGCCTCGCCAGTCTCCTCCAGGTCCAGAGTGTTCTGGAATAGGTGAAGAAAGTAAGGTGAATAGTTATTAAACAAAAAGGGGGAAACGAGTTGCTCTCAAGGCCACTAAATCTGTGGGGCCTGTGGCCCCTTCATGTAGTTTCTGTGACTCCTGGTATGTCCTACTCTGCTGGAATCCACTTCACGTGTTCCAATGACTGCCGATCCCTGCCTGACATCTTGACTTGTATTTGAGTTCTCTGGATCACTTTGAGGCCTCCCCTGAACTAGCTGGTAATGCTATGGGTTGTCTCCAGGCTGGACTGGGAATGCCTGGAGCTCAGCCCAGAGCAGTGCGCACACCGCCTCCAAACCCAAGACTTCTCTCTGCAGCCCCAGCTAACAGAATCCTGTGAAGGCGTGAAAAGGCAAGACAAAGCTGGAAATGGATCCTGAAAGTCTCTCCCTTTTATTTTAACAGCTTTAATCCTGAATGTGTGGTTTAAGGTTTTAATGCACATGATTTTGCAAAAATCCATCCCCTCCTTCCTTTCTCAACTCAGTGGTCATAGCCTAATGTGCTCTCAAGTGACAGAGGCTGAAGGGAAGCTCTGGGGACACGGACGGCGCATGACAACCTTAGCTACAAGTGGAGGTGCGTGGCAGGCATTGCATTCTGTGGCACAAATTCAACTAACTGCCTCTGAACACAAAGGAGTCAAAACGAGTTTGCGATAATCAAATGCAGAAGAGAAAAATATACACAAGTGCATGCTGTGTATTTATGTTTACGTGTGCCCAGTCAGTCCACCCCTCTTAGTTCCTAGCTCATTCCTGGTGACTTGGAACTCACTTGTTCATAGCTGACTCTAGTGAGTTTTCAGAGGCTGCAAAGTGCAAAGAGAAGACTGTCCATCTTTCTCCCGTCAAGTAGCTGGTGGATTCAAACCACATGCCTTTGAGTTGACAACACAAATACTTTTAAGTCCATTCCTGGGCGCTGGGGGTGGGGTGGCAAATGGTTAAGTGTTTTGCTGCTAACATTTAAGATATATTGGTGTCAACTCACCAGGATGTACCTCCAGAAGAAAATCCTGGCAATCTATGTCCAAAAAACTTCAGCCACTAAAAACCCTATGAAGGACAGTTCTACTCTGATTACACGGGGGTCACTCAACAGCAATGCCATCTGGGTGGCTAAGCAGAGCCCCTTTCAGAGCCGGGCTGTCTTTTCTCTCCACCCTCTGAACCCACTATGACAGTGAGCTTCTGCCAACAATACCTGGCTCAAGTTCCAAGTACAGCGCTCAATACTGAGCAGGTGCGGAAGATCCCGACTGACAAAGCACAGAGGACACAGGTGTGGTGAAATACTGCCAAATACTGCCCTTGCCTCTGGGTGGCTCAGAGATTAGTGGAGTTCACTGATGAGGAAGCAAACAAGAGGACACTGTGCGGAAAGGGCACGGAATGGGGAAGCAGGTACCTGTAGATGCCAAGGGGTAAGTGTGTGAATGCAGCCAGGGGTATCAGGGAAGGCTTCCAGGAGGAGAGGGACGTCTAAAGCTGAGTTGTGTGGGCGACGCAGGCAAAGTAAGTAGATGGATGTTTCAGACTGAGGGGAAAAGTGTGTGTAAAGCAGGATGGAGATAGAGGATGCTCACAAATCTTCAGGCAGAGGAGAACAGGAGCTACTTAGACTTAAGCCTGAGGACAGAAGGTTGCCGTGGAGATGTGCTCCTGTTTTCCTTCTATGAAGAGTCCCTTTGCTCATTCCCTCTCCAGCGCCTGGAACACTAGACATGCCAAGGCCTTCTCATTGCTGTTCCCTATGTCTGGCACCATCCTCCCCTCTGCTGTCCACAATGCTTGGTGCATTTCCTCACCTCCTTCAAGGCCCCTCCAACATCACCTTCCTAGTGAGGTCTACTCTGACCACCCCACATAAAATTACAACCCTTCCCTGCTTCCCCATTAATATTGGTCACTGCTCTCCATACAGCAGCTGGGAGGCAATCCTTAAAACCTAAGTCTGCTAACACCGCTCCCCAGCTAACAAACCTTTAGTGACTTTCCATTTTACTTGGTGGAAATTCCAAATTCACTCCTCATGCCTATGTGATGGCTCACTCCTGCCTCCGGGCCTTTGCACTTGTTGCTCTGTCTGCATCCGCTGACTCACTACCTCTCTTCACTTAGCTCTGACTCAGGTGGCCCCTTCCCCCAGCAGCCCTGTCTCAACAGCACTGCTCTAGTCCCTGGCCCCGCTGTTTCCTTCAGCACAGTTTTTATCTGGTGTTACACCACTATTTGTTGATTGTCTGTCTTTCCCACCAGAATATAAAACATACAAAAGCAGGCCATGTGGTCCCCAATTCCATTCCTAACGCTCAGAGTAGCAGCTGCTTGATAATACTGATTAAATAAATTAATAAACGCATGAATGAATCGACGGATGAATCAATTAATCAATTTCCCACTCTGGCTGTCATGGAGGAGAGGCTCGAGGAAGCAGGGAGCTAGGCGAGGCGGCTACTGTGGCCTCTGTGGGGAGATGTGCTGTCACGGTGGCTGGGATGTGGATAAGAGCAGCGGCAGGGGTGGGAAGTGCTATTACTCCCCACTCCCGAAGGTGGAGGGGGCTGTGGGGTGACTATACTCTGACCCCCATTTGGAATGGTCTCCTTGTCAAGTCTGGAGCATCCTGGGATGTACAAACACCAGCCATGGGCATCTACCAACCACCATATGCCTGGCCCTCACTCCCAGAGCCCTTCCTTGTCCCCATGACGCTGCTGGGACAGTTGCTCCATTTCACAGGTGAGGCTCAAGCTTACACACCTGCGTCTTGCCTCGCAGGAGGACGCTGCTGATGGCCTGACTCCTGGGACAGTGGGGAGACGCTCGGAAGGATGAAGGGGCAGTGCAGGGTCTCTTTCTCACTAACTGATTAAGAGCGGTGTCACCTCTGGTTTGCCACTCCGTCACATACGCCTGAGGGATGGTAAATCACGCCACTTATCTGAGCCTCGTCTTTCCTCATCTGTAAAATGGGAGGTGACACGAGTCCCTGTCTCACGTGGTTGATGGGGTGAGGTGCTGTGCTAACACCTATAGAGTAGTCAGAACAAGGGCTGGCACAACCTACAAGGGAAGGTGACATCGGAAACCTGGGTTGTTGCTATTACTGTTATGTGTGGTGGAGCTGACTTCTACTCACGCGACCCTCTGAACAACAGATCCGCCCCTTGCCCTTTCCTGCACTGTCCTCACTGTCTCTACGTGTTAAAGCCCATGTTACAGTCACTGTGTCGCTCCATCTCGTTAAGGGTCTTCTCTTTCTCTGACTCTGGGGGACCCTGCATATCTACCCAAAGCAACTGAATAGTGTAAAGGTGGCCTGGCCTGTAAGGACCCTCTGAGGGAAAGAAAACAGGAGCCCTCATCCAAAATCACAAGCATCCCACTGCTCCCTGAACCTTGCTCACCTGGGTGACACCAACAAAGGAGCGTGACAGGGAGATGCAGAAGACATGCCATGACCTTCTGAGGCAGGACGGTCACAGCCCAGTACCCTCCGGAGTCAGAGGCCTTAGAGGTACAAGCAGCATCAACTCTCTGTCTCCAGTAGGTGACCGTGGGGAGGCTGAGGTGAGGCTCAGCCAGCGGATCACAGAGGGGCCAGGAGGCGGGATTCTGTAGCAGGATTTCTGGCCGTTACTGTAGAGTAACGGCTCTACATGTTACCAGGCAGCCAGGACTTTAGACGGAAGCCCGGTCAAGAATACAAAAACACAGGGGTCACAGTGTCCCCAACAGTTAGCAGAGGGCCATGCACACCGCAGCTGCTCACAGACTCTTGCTCAGGGTCACTGTTGAGGGGGTGCCGGAGTGTGACAACACAACCATGCCTCTGCTGTGCGTGGTGGGTAGAAGGGGTGACTGATACACGACACGGACTCGCACGTGCCAGCCTCTGTGCCAAGTGCTGGCCTTATGTGAATGACCTCATTCGAGACCCCTAGCAACCCCATGGTTCAGTTAC